TACAACTTTAGATTATACCTATATTGTTTGTACCAATTCTTTTATGGTACAACTTGAACTTGTACATTTATGTGATGGTACAACTTCAAGTTGTAAAGTTGTACCATAACATAATGGTACAAATTCTTTTATGGTACAATATAAACTTATACATTTCATGTTATGGTACAACTTTAAGTTGTACATTAAAGCACCAATACTATATAGTATAGTAGAAATGCTCTTTTATGAAACCAATTTTATCGTAATGATTGAAAGTATGTCGATTACAATTATTAAAAATGTGTCAGAAGTTCTAAATTCTAAAAATTATACCGACAAAACATGAGTCTCTCACAAAACATTCGGGCGGAGGTGTGTCGCTTGACACACCTCCCTAACACATGGGTCCGCCCCTGATTATAATGGTGGTCTGATTGAATTATTTTTATCATTAAAGTTCAAATTAATAGACGATTTTAACAGTATGAAAAGTTTAATCATGATGTTAGCATAAACTATTCTATTATTAACTTTTCCAATACAAACCTTTGAAACGGTTTTATGATTTTTGGTTTTGATTGAGCAACAAAGTACGAAGCATGTTAACAAAAGTGCAAAATTGTAGGGCTGGTCAAAAGATGGAAGGTAGTGAATTGGAGGAGGTGAACTGAAGCATGCGTGTGGAAAACCAAAGGACACAGGACATGGCTCTAAAGATAGGCAGCACTTTCCACCTGCCCACCATCATTGCAATTTGAGGCACTAGCTAGCTAGCTCCCGGGGTACGACATATCATGGGGATGGAATTGAATGAGTCAATTTGGAATAATTGATTTAAAATGAAGCAATTAGTTCAAATAATCTTGTTTGATAATATGAAATAGGATAAAACAATTGGAACGAGATAATTTTGCATCATTTTGAATGAACAGAATAGGGGACAAGTATTGTGGAATAATGCAATTCTGTGATATAATTCTATCAAATTGCCTCATTTCAGAAACTCACCCAAAATTTTTTTTCCAACGACCATCTATATTGTCACACTGACGGACTAGAGATTAATCGACAACGCAAAAAAGACAACGACCAACAAGAAAACACATGGATTTATGTGATTCACTAACACAATGCGTATTAGCTAGTGCACGGACACACAGAGAATCAACTTGACTATACTAGAGCGGATTACAAATTAGAAAGAAGTATGAAAAATAATTATAATCCATATAGTCAACCGGCAAATCATCCTGACTCAAGTCATATCAATAAATCTATGGATGATTTCATATGTCTTCATCTTTAGTTTAATTCTCTTGTCTTGAGTATGCGTGCAGGAGAAACATTCAAAGCGTCAACTAATTGATATCCCATCCCCAGCTACCAGCTACCAGTTTCTCCAACGCAATTCTCAGCCCTCTTCATGCTATTTTCATGACTTTCTGTGCATACATTTCTGTGTTCTCTACGCAAATTATTTTGCTAATCAGCAGTTTTTTAGAATCACAATAAAATTAGTACTCCCTTTTAATCACTTAATACAAAAATTACCCGAATTCAATTACATCACTCAAACTACAAATCTGTTAAGTATGTAACAAAATGAAGGGGAAAAAATGAGATCGAAACTACAAAGTAATGGTGTACGAAAATCCTGCTTCATGTGTTCCGCTGGTGCCTTTGGAAGGAGAGGAACGCATAGATTTTCGACAACAAAGCCTCTACACCTAAAATCAATTGTTATAAAGTCAGGACAGCTGATTTCATGCATCTTTACAGCAATTAATTTCATCATTCCATCGATCGACAGCGCCATTAGCAAGAGTTCTACAAGAAATTGTAACTCCAAAAAAGCTAGCAAGCTACAGATCGAGTCACAACAAATATCTATTAGATTAGTTAGCAAAAGTGCTTTATGCCAACCCAACCCCGCGAGATTTCCCGTATCTGAACCTACTTTCTGGTTATTTCATGAGAAAACAAGAAGAAAAAGCAAATAGCCAATGTTGCAACTATACCTAGCTAGGTAGCTCCAAATAAGCAGTCAACGACATTAATTCCGTCGTTATTCGTTAACAAAGGAAAAAGAAACCATCAACTTCCATCGCCAACTACCCAACCAAAACATACATATAGCTAGATGATTGTCAATACAATTTCAACTGGGTGACCTTTCAAACAAGTGGGGTCAATGAGTAGTGGTGGAATTAAGTTTAGCCAAATTTTATTTGATACGATAAAACAAATTATTAATATCAGCCTCTTCCCCTTCGTCTTTCCTCTAAGAATCAGAATTGTCCAATTTATTGTATGATCTTGAAGTAAACGGTACAAACTTTATAACATGATTTATAGACGTGTGTAGGAATATCAACAACTTGACATACATAAAATTGGAAAGGAATTAGAGATGTAATTTAGGGATCATGCTATTGGTATTTTCCTTTTGGTTTTCTTTTCCCTTTCCCCTTCTTTCCATCCTCCCCAGAGCTTGTAGCCCCAAATACCTCATCTCTCTATACTCATGCTCAAAAAAGAAAATGACTTCGTTATCACAGTTATCATACAAACTAGCAAGACAATAAATACAAGTACGAAAAGATAATTATCATTCACAACATCATATAAATAAAGACTAGAATGCGAGATTTGCTTTGTCAACTGCAGAAATAGTCAGAGAAGGATGAATAACGGGTTCTGACTCTTAAACCTATTTGAGACATTGTGTGCATGGTTGTTTGCAATATCCAATAGGTGTGAATTGAGATGTATAGAATTGCGTCTTTGGTTGGTTTTGAATATTGAGACGTTTTCCCGTTAGTCAAAGTTCAAAACTATGTGATTATACTAGTATGCGGTTATTAGTTTTCTTATTTGTTAATCACTAAGCAAAATACAACTAACAAAAATGAAACAATTATGAAATTATCAGTTATCAGTTAACCACTAACCGCCATTATCGGTTTGGTTATCGGTTAAAATTGATAACCGACTTACCGTTTACCACCTCTACTTCTAAACAGTTCCAAAGGTCTGAATCATATTCCAAGTCGGTTTAGATCTCTTCATTGACTTGCTCTTCAGGTTTCCGATCCCCTAGGGGAACGACATCACTCGACTTTTTGCGAAGAAACTCGACCCAAGAGATCCTTTCTTATCCATAAGGCTCCTTGTCAAAATTGGGCTAATTTGGTAACAACGATCTGGGTCGTTACGGTTGCCGCTCTGGCTCTGTATTTTGGGCACCATTAGCTAGGTACATCTTCACTTCATAATAAGCCTTAAGTGTACTTAGAATATGAGGTCGTTTGGAAGTTGCGATTGTTAGATAGATCTATTGTTGTGAATGCATGTATTATATTATACATTTATTGCCGAATTTGATGTATTGTAGAATGCAAAGTTCGGTATGCGTGATTGTGTATGTCGCATCAGCTAAAAGCTGAGACAAAACAATCTCAACTCAACAATCTCAACAATCACAACTAATAAAAGTGGACATATAACAATTACTCATTTTGAGTGATAGTTTTTGTCACATCACAGAAACGATCCATGTATTGTTTCTGCTAAAAAAGCGATGCATTCTAAACAATACATGTACAGTAACAATTTCAACAAAACAATCGCAACTTCCAAACAATCCCGAAATTACATGAAAACCTATGCAAAATGGCATCAAGATTTTAAAACACCTAAATTCCATATATCACTTACGGCCTGTTTGGATACAATTCCGGAAGAAATGGAAATGAAATTCCATTTTCATTTTCTATTTTTATAGAATTCCATTTTCCGTTTTTGGGTTTGGTATAATTTCTACAACTATGGAAATGAATTGCACTTTTAACTATAATTAATAATATAATATGTTTGTTTTATCTTGGGAAATGGACTATGAATGATAGAGAAAGAGAGTAGAGTGAAAATTGATTAATAAAATAATAAGACATAATGATGGAACCCACTAATTTCATCTTCATAAACCCAATTCCTACCACTTTTGATAGGAATTGTAATTCCCAAAACTTAAACTAAATGAAATTCATTTCTCAACATTTTTATCATTCCAAACATAAAATATATAATTGAAATAGGAAATAGAATTCAAGTTCTTGAGTTTTTTTGCCTATCCAAACAGGCGGTTAGGACAAATAATTACCAATTTCATAGTCAAAATGTAATTCATCTAAAAATGCACAAGCGAGGAATGAATATTGTGAAAAATGAAGTTTAAAAAGGAAAAAAATAAATACACGAAAATGGGGAGGTAGATAGATAGGTTGAGGATGGGTGATAATCCACTTATTAACACAGACCGTCCAAATGCAACGAACACCAAAAAGGCTCATTAATGGGTAATTGGCAAGAGACAGCAGCATGATCAAGTGGGAAAAAGGTGAAAAAGCAACTTAGATCCGATGGCTGGCTCCACAGTTCGATCACGCTAGCTAATTAACATAAATTAAAACACAATTTAGAAGTAATGATTGATTTTGTTTATTATTACTTTTACAACATCGTATGCTAATTATATTCTTAGTGTTAATTATTACAGTCATAATGACACACTAAATATATTTCTAACCCTGTTATTTGTTGAAATTCAAATTTAGCATAATATTTCACCCACCACGCCAATCCAAATTTAGCAATCGGAATTACCGGAAAAAAATAACAATCGGAGCTAGGTAGTGGCAATTTTTTTTCCCCAGTGTGTGCCGAACCGGCCTGTTTAGCTATTGGCGATATTGAAATAGCATGGGTGTAAAGACATTGTCATACGTTTAATTTGTCTAGTTGTCGTCTAAGTGTGTGCCTAATCAGATTAAATGATTAATCACTTACTTAACAATTTATAATAAGAAAAATAGCTTACAAGCTAATAGAATCATATTTCAATTGCTTATAAAGTTCTTGAGCTTTTGGAATGATTATGAGAGGAAATTGAGTTTGTACTTTGTATATGATGTTAATTTTCTCATTTATATATTGACTGCCTTGGACGATACGTAGGCATCGCCTTACTCAGTCTATTGTGAAGAAAAGAAAAAAAAAAGCTTTACTCAGTCACTGCTATGGATACCTGAAATCACTAGGTGAGGCGTTTTGGCGTTGTATGGCCCCTAGGTGTGCCTAAATGTAAGATTAAGCACACCTTTTTGGAACCCTGGGCATGAGCACTGCTAATGCTTTGCCCTTATATGTCTACCTCATCTTGACTGGTTTTCACTTGATTTGTTTTCATGTCTATTTGTATTTCTTCTCTTTTGACTATGAGAGCTTGATCGCAATCAGATTGTGTTGTTGTCCTTATTTAATCACTAATCAAATGGATACAATAGGACTTAAATTGGATTCCGATCACGTACATATATTTTGTTTCAAACCCAAGTGTTTCTCGGTGAACTAAAACTTCACGTGCGTGAATGGCGAACAACGGAGGAATAAACAACTCGGAGGATAGAAGGAATACAACGATCATCAACAAACTCATCCACAATCGAGTGAACTAAAAGAGGTGGTCTGTGTGTAATCTGCCCCATCTGTAGAATCATAAGTCGATTTGATGGTGCTACGAAGATAAATCAAGGGAAGTGCAACCGAATCTGTTGGTTTCTCAAGTGATGGATCAATCTCATTTTCTTATGGAAATTTTATGATTGTATTTCGTATGTTTTTATTGTTGAATTACTTGCTCTTCGTGATGATATGAGGTGGTGTCTAAGCATAATATTTGGTTGTTGCTTTTTGTGGTGACTCACATATGGTCATCCGACATGCTATATAGAAAGAAGCTACTCAATTGGTGGTTGTTGTTGTTGATGCTTGCTTAGTGACAAAATAGTCTTTTTAATCGATAGTTTGGTTGCATACGAACTACCGCGTATAGTTGTTGTCCATTTTATAACTTGGTTTGTCTGCTATGTTCGTTTTGCTTATATGGTAAAAAAGTGTAAGACTGCATCTATCATCTAATTAGACTCAATATTATGATCTATATACTTTTTAGTTTGTGAAGGGTAACATGCGAGTATGTGTCGACCGACCTATCACCAATGCCAAAGAGAAGAATTTCGCTAAGGTGGTTCGAGTACGAAGTAAGTGAAAGGAAGCAGGCAACCAACAATGAGTAGAGACTAGCGACTATTGCCTACTAACTGATGTCGGCCTTCCATTGCCTACTAACTGATGTTGCCTGAATAGTACTATTTTTGGTGATTGTTCCAAGACGTAAGATGGTGTTTGAGACCTCTCTTGATCTCAAGTGACTACAGTTCAGGTTCCATATCCACATAGGTATCATTCACCATGACAAACATTTAATACGAAACGAATATGAGTATTGAAGTACTTCCTCATCCCACCCCATCAGCATGCTAACAATAAAATAATAAGTGAGGAACAAAATTTAAATTTGTGTTGCATTCCGACATTCTTGCTTTACCATCCGTCCCAAACTAGTAAAGCAGAAACAAAAAAATCTCAACCCACATCATGGGCTGGCTCCACATGAAAATAATATATGGTGTGGTGGTGGGTGGCATTTCTTGTAATATGTAGGCCATCTCGAGGTCACCCTCAGAACCCACTTCTTATAAGTACACAAACACTCTGCAGTCTCTCGACACAATTGAATTGAATTCCTCCTCTCCCTGAGAAGCCAAGAACTATAGAAAGCCATGGGTAATTGCATGGTTGTTGAAGAGAAAGTGGTGAAGGTGATGAGACCAGATGGGAAGATCCTGGAGTACACATCACCAACCATAGTCCAGCAAGTCATGTCCGATTTCCCGGGCCAATTCGTCTGTGATCATTCATATTCATCACTTCAGCAGCAGCAGCAGCAGCAGAATATGCTGCCAGAGGCCAAGCTCGTGTGTGGTCGCTTGTATTATCTCGTCCCTCTGCCGCCTCCAGTACCAGCATCACCAGAAAAACTAGTTGTCAAGCAGAAGAAGAAAGTGAGGTTTGCAGTTCCAGAAGGAGGAGAGAAAGAGAGTAGCCAGAATAAGAAGGTAGAAGAACATCACCATGATGAATCTGATGTTAAAGGTGGTGGAGTGATGAGGATAAAGCTGGTGATCACCAAGCAGGAACTGGAGGAATTGCTGAAGAAAGGTGGGGTTTCTGTTGGTGACATGGTTTCTCATCTACAGGATCAGCAAAGATTGGTGAAGGTTGATGTTGGAGAAAATGATCAACAGCAGCAGGAGGAGGAAGAGTGGCAGAAAAATTGGAAGCCTGTACTGGAAAGTATACCTGAAATTGCTTAGTACTTAAGGGGGGTAAATAAGCTGATGTTCTTCTGGGTTAGATGTAATATGTAGAATAGTAGTTTATGGAGAAGAAAAAAGGGTATAATTTTACTGCTCCAGCACAGTGGAGACACACTCCTGGTCCTGGAAGATGTAAAATAGTGTCCTTGAATGTATTCCAGAGCTACCAAGCAAACTGTATCCTTCAAATCTAAAAATATGGAAACTCAGCAAACAAGCTTTGATCTGCTTCTGATCCCTACTCCATTGATGTTCATTAGCTGCTCTAGCATTAGGGGGGAAAGATGTTGCAGAACTGGTGATTGGACTGGTCTGTGCGAAAATCCCCACAAGCAAATCAGCAAGGGAAGGTGTTAATATAAACCCAGAAATGCTTTTCTTTCTTCTAAGGTAATGGCCATTATTACAACAATGTTTTTCTTTGTGAATAGAATCAATGATTCCAGAGTTTACTAATGCCATGAGCAGTGGTATGGGCCACTATGGCAGTTAGTGCCGTTTCTGTTCTAATTAATGAAACTAGGTCCTGCACTGATGGGAAGCAGTCATATGGTGGATCTGATCAGCGAGTATAATGATGGAAACAGGATCTACCGTGTCGGTAATCGAGTCAAAGAATAGAGAATCGATCTGAATATTCGAGATTTGGGAAAACTGGTTTAATGATGGAAACATGGTCTATTATCGTGTCGGTAATCGAGTCAAAGAATTGAGAATCGATTTGAATATTAAGGATTTGAGAAATTTTGCGAATAGAATTAGCATTTGAATGAAGAAAGCTTTGAAAAGAAGAAAAAGGGGAGGGGGAGTCCGGCTAGGGCCGAAGGAGAAAGAGACGAGAAGGAGGGGGAAAGGGGATCGGTCGAATAGAGTAGAGAAGAGAGGAGAGAGAGATTAGGTTTCACGATTTCTGATTTTGGTTAAACTTACTAATTCAATCCACAATTTACGAATCGATAAGTTTAACCAGATTATGAGTAGATTATGAGAATTGGGCGAATTATATGTTTCTTTTTCTACTGAATCTCTTAATCTACTCATAGTTAACCATCAAAGCTCAAATGCCAAACACATAACTTCCAAAAACCTCGAAAATAAACTCAAATATCCACACAAAAAATAAAACAAAAATACCATAAAACATAAATAAAATCCATATATGAAAACTGAAGGAGAGCTGAATGACCAATCATGACAAATTCAAGCATATATGTTGCTCCAAACAATGGTTAGTGCTCTCCTCTGTACATCAACTTCCCACAAGTAGGGCTGCAAATGAGCCAAGCTGCTCGCGAGCAACTCGGCGTTCGAATCGGAAAAAACTCGTTCGACACTCGACTCGTTGTTTAACAAGCCAGCTCGCGAGCCGACTCGTTAGTAAACGAGCCAAGCTTGAGCTAGGCCATGCTCGGCTTGATAAGCTCGTGAGCTAGCTTGACTCGGTGGCTTGTTGAGCTAAGCTCGTGAGCTGGCTTGTTTAAAGCTTGTGGAAGGATTAATTACTCTTCTGAACATGAAAATTATCTTTTTAATAAGGATGTGTATGGAAGTTACATGTTATTTTTAGTTTCTAGTGTTCTTTTTATTATTTTTAATTTCTAATGTTCTTATTTGTACACATTTTTCAGCAAGAATGGTTTCAAATCGAGCTTTTCTTGAGCCGAGCTTGTACTCAGCTTGACAAGCTGTGTTAATGACCATTTATCGAGCTCTGTCGAGCCGAGCTCGAGCTGGATTATTTTTAATCGAGTCGAGCTTGAGCTCGAGCTGGATAATCAAAATTCGAGTTCGAGCCGAGCTCGAGCTAAAAAATTTATAAACGAGCCGAGCTCAAGCTAAGCAAAAACTCGACTCGACTCGGCTCGTTTGCAGCCCTACCCACAAGGAAAACGTATGGACGACTCAGGACGACTACTTGCCTTGTTTAACATAACAAACCCGAGTCTCTTCTCATTTACCTCTCCCCCTTTTTTTCTGCCTACGATGTGCCGTAGGGTTAGGAGAAATGGGTCATGTGGACAGGATTTTAACTCCACCCACGCGCAAGAATTAACCAGTTACGGTACCTCTAGTGGTTGACTGACTCTGGCCTTGCCAAGTCAATTTACTCTGTTTTATCCACTTCCACTGTGTTATTATTGCAGTTTACGATAACCGGACCAGACTGGATTTGTGGTTGAATCAGATAACCGATGCTAACTGGTCTGGGTTTTGCGGTCTACCTTTACCTGGCCTCTACAGCAATGAATGACTTATGAACTGATTTGTGATGTAGTTGTTTACTTCAGTACAGTAGTTAACGTGTTTCTTACGGCAGTAATCAAGCAGAGCAGTACCAAATTTTCGCATCAAACACCTGATTAGGGTTATTGTTAATGTGCAGAACTAGGGATGGCAATGGGGCGGGTTTGGGGCGGGTTTGCCTAAACCATCCCCATCCCCATCTTCAAATACCCAAACCCATACCCGCCCCATACCCATGCGGGAGAATGTTTTGCAAACCCATCCCCATACCCGTGGGTTTCGGGTACCCATGGGTAATATCCATCCCCGCACATCCAACATTATTATACCTAAAACTTACAAGAAAAGTTTTAATTATAACCATAAACAAACCTATTATGTCATGAAGTCAACAAAACACAGTCATTTTCTAAATACGATTCAAAGAATATGATCCTAAAACATCCATTAATACATAATATAGACTACAATATTTTTAAAATTATTATGCTCTAACTCTTAATACATTTACTAAGTAATAATTAACAAACATAATCTTGTTGACAATGGGGAAAGTAAAACTGTAAAAGAGTGGAAGGAGAATTGAGGGAAATGAATTAGGTTTTGATTAAGGTGGTTACTCAATTGCATTTTTACTATTTATTTTCTCGAGTTATCATCATCATTGATAGATTACAATTTAATTCACATATTTTTTTTATATGTGAAGAAATTCTCTTGGTGGTGCGGGTATGGGTATGGGTATGGGGCGGGGGAGGCTAAAACCATACCCGCCCCATACCCATCAAACTTTTTGCGGGTTTTACCCATACCCGCCCCATACCCGGTCAAAGCGGGGATTCCCCGCATTGACTGGGTCGGGGGCGGTCGGGTACCCGCGGCCATGGGTTTGATTGCCATCTCTATGCAGAACCATTCAGAGCAGAGGTGAAATAACAGGCATAGTAAGTATTAATACTAAGTCAGCATATACATATATACATGCCTTTCCACTATCCATTCAGGGCATGCTGAAACTGCAAAACTGAGAAAGCAACAACTGATACAACTCCCTTTGGAACCTCTATAATCTGCACGGTTTGATCTTTACTTTGAAGGCATGACAAAGGACATATGCCACTTTTCCTCATCTTCAACTTGAGATTAATATGGAGATCATGAATCGAACGGGCACGATGAGGAAACATAGACGAAAATCTACTTTGCGTAGCAATGGCTTTTCTTGCAATGAACACTAGCATTTCCATGGGATTCATTCAGTACAACCCTATGATACTAACACAACAGAAAGATACAACTGTTTCAATCAAAATTCACCTTCTTGTTAGTTAGTTAGTACCAGCCATCAAGGCCTCCTCCAAATTTCAGCTCTCCAAAATTATGTGTGTTTACAATCTGATCCCTCACTTACTTAGATTGTTGACATAGAAAAATATAAGTGACCATTTTGTAACACGATTAAGTTGAGTGCCATTCTTGTCAATTTAACCAACCGGAACTTCGTCGCCCTTTAATTCTCAAAAATCCCCAATCGTTCGACTCATTCTTCTACATACCTCCGGGCTAAGATCTGCAGTGATAGCATTCGAATCAATCAAACCACGGAGAAGCGAGTAAAATATCATCCATGGCTACGGAGCAGAGTTTCCAAGTTCGCAAGCTACAGCTATCAGACAAAGGAAAAGGATTCATCGATCTCCTGCGACAGCTCAGCGTCTGCGATCCCATCTCCGACGAGGATTTCGAGGCCAGGTTTCAGGAGCTGAGCTCCCATGGCGACGACCACCTCATCTGCGTGATCGAAGATGAACGGCAGGGGAAGATTGTAGCCACCGGCTGCGTTTTCGTCGAGAAGAAGTTCTTGAGGAACTGCGGCAAGGTCGGACACATCGAGGACGTGGTGGTCGATTCAGGCGCCAGAGGGTTGCACTTGGGGAAGAAGATTGTGGAGTTTCTCGCCGACCATGCGCGGTCCAAAGGTTGCTACAAGGTGATTCTGGATTGTAGCAGCGAGAACAAGGCGTTCTATGAGAGATGTGGGTTCAAGGAGAAGGAAATCCAGATGGTTCAGTATTTTGTTTAGAACTGTTAAGAATTGATCTCCAATTCTCCATTGTAATGTTCTTTCTGCCTGGTAATTGTTTTGAATTGGAACTGGCAAGAATTTTGGTTAAACCTTCACTGTGCCCGAGATGAAACGGCGTCGTATCCGAATTGCGACTGCGTACCTCCTCACCTGCCAACTGCCATTGAAAAAGTAAAACTAAAAAGGAAGAGCCAACAAAAACCCACCACCGAACGCCAGCCTTTGCTTTTGCGCCAATCTCCCTCCTCCTTCTGACCTCTCTGTCGATTTGAAGAAAAGGGAAATAAAGATGTATGCTTGTTCGTCTTCCCTCTAAACCCTCTTTGAGCCGATTCCATTTTCTCGTTTGCTTGGGAGATTGGAGTACCCTTGTCTCGGTGTTCTTGCTTGCTGGGGTTTTCTCGTTGCGGCTTATTGCAGCAAGTTATTGGCTTCAAGTTGGGAACTTTTTTTGTTCTTCTCGTTGCGGCTTATTGCAGCAAGTTATTGGCTTCAAGTTGGGAACTTTTTTTGTTCGTGTTGATTGATTCATTGAAAGTGCAAAAATGGCTTCCAGTTTGCAGCAATGGGAAGCCGATCCTCTCTTCTCAGCAGCCGAAGTTGTTCAAGATTCTGCCGACAGGTTGGATTGCTGGGCTGATTCTCCTTAAATGTTGCTTAAAAGGGTTTAATTTCTTTTCCCCTCTGTCTTATTGGAAAACAAAACAAAGAAGCTTATATAGCTTATGCGTGGAGCAGAATCCCTTCTGATTGAATTCTGAACTATTCTCGGGAAACTGTTTCTGGGTAATTGTTGAAATAATGGGGTTTTCTTTTTGCTCCCCAATAATTATGAAGAAGAAAAGAATTTGTGCAGGTTTCTGTTGATTGTGTTATGACTTTGGATAAGAGAGCCTTGGTTTCTTCCTTTGTGTTTGGCATATTGACAAGGGAAGATTAGATAGTTACTGCGGTATCCAAAAGTATAAGACTGTTTTTGTTATATTCTAGGATGGACTCATTGTTTCGCCTTCTTCTACACGACCAAGCCTTGCTTCAAGAGGATCATTCTGATCCAAGGCTGCTCGCCACAATAGATTACCATAGGCGGGATCTCGTGACTATTCTCGAAACAGCAAAGTGGCAGGTACTGGTTTCTCTTTGTTGTCGTCATCAGCTGGTACATTGATGCATTGCTACTGCTGATCATGGTTAACTTTTTCAACTTGGCAGTTGGAAGATTTCGAACGAGCAGTCAACACTTCAGCCATGGCAGACAAGTCTCAATCGAAGGAGGATGTGGTAGCTAGACATAGGCAGTTCATTACAGCAATTAGGGAACAAATAAAGCTTGTTGAGGAAAGAATAGAGGGTCCTTCGATGAGGAAAAGCGCGTGGGTGAATTTGAATGACCAGGACAGGGATGGATTGGCTTTGTTTCTTGATCCAACTTCAGCATTGAGTTTAACAGGTGATGAGATTGTTGAGCAAGAAAAGATTGAGAAGATACAAATGAATGGACATGTACATGGACACCATTGTCTTGTGAACGGAGATACACATAAAGAGATCTCCAGTGATAGGGATTGCAATATTGAGGGGAAGTGGGACCTGGAAGCTAGTGAAGCAGCACCATCCAGAAATATATTCCATGAAAACATGCTGAGAGGAGTAACCAGTAGAGTTAATTTGAGATTCTTGAGAAATTTCTGGACCATGTATGGGAACAAAGGCAGCAGAAGCCATACAAAGAGGTTGAAAGATGGGGAAGATCAAATCAATTCCCAAACACCCTTCGATGATTCCCCTTATGTTCAGGTACAAATTTTCTAAAGTTTGGTACATAAATGGTGCATTAGGTGCTTCCTAGAGAACATTATAAAATCCAGTATCTATATTTCTGGTGCTACACCTTGGTGAGAAAGAATGCTTCTTTGCATGGATCACTTACACGCACCAACCAGCTTTTCTTAATGCATCTTTAATGCATAGAATCAATCTGCTCATTATTTATGTTGTGAGTTTGGTGTATTTATCAACTGTTCAACTTAATAATCTGTAGTTCTCAGACATAGCAGACTGTTTTCATTAGATTTATTCTCTAACTGCATGCATTATCAACAACCGTCTGATAGAAATCCAGTGGAAATCTTAAGATGCTGATGATTAAATTAATGTCTTCATGACAGGGCCAATTAGGATGTGGATTTGAAAGCTTCCAAGTTCTAATTTCTAGGTTTCAGGCTAATGCGGTACGGTTGAGTAGCAATCTTGGAGTAAGATATCAAATGTTGCCTGCTCATGTTCAAGTAAACCGGCATTCAGTGCAAATGGTGTTGACGATGATCTTTGCCCTCATATTTTTGGGTAAGGAAAGCTTATTATTTTGCTCATCACTTTCATATCTTCTTGTCAGGATCCTTATCCGGGATCTGATCCTGTGCAGGTATACTGGTCTTTAGAATTGCTTGACCATAGAATTCATTGGTTATAAGCTCAACTGCAGCATAATTAAGCCGTTAATATTGCTGAGCTGCATGCTGGTGAAAGTACATCCAGAGTACTAAATTCCTCTTCGGATGATGCCCTTGGAAGCATGTAACAATCTCCAGGAAGTGGAATATTAATTCATCATCAGCATCGGATATAAGTACAGAACACGAAATCCTAGGACTAGCCTGATGTTACTTCTGCATGCAACCTTTGCAGCCACATTGTATGATCAGATTTAGCCCCATGGTGCAAGTTCTGATGAATGTCAACAAAGTCTACCTGTTATGTGAAGAACCAAATTGTTAATTGAGATTTTGAAAGTGTTGTGAAGAGACAAATTGTTAATGGTGTGCTGACATTTGTTGTTTCACTTTTTTACTGCACTGTAGAGGATGGTTGTCGTTGCCCAAAGGAAGTTCAGGCCTTCATCAATTCCAACTTCCTAGCCCTAAAACATAAATCTCTCTTGGTTATCAAAAAGAAGAATGTATTAACCATGAATGGTGTATTAACTTTCTTGCGTAGGAATGTACCAATGGTTACAGTAATTGAGCAACGGACTATTGACTATTCCCACGAAAATGGGAGTATGAATATACATGAAAGTTGTTGTAGGTTGTGGAATTCCCAGATTCAAATCAAATGAGAAAGTCGATCACCAGGAAATATACACATTCTACTCTGATTTATTCTCAATCTCTCTGAACCTCCGTTCCCAATCTTCAGCCTCGATCTCTTGCCCGATTATCTCTCTTTCGGTACTGTAGACTATGCGATCCTGTCCTATCACTGTTTTCTGAGCCATATCCCGAGCACTAAGAATCTGCAGTGAGAAATTCACAGACAAACAAATAAGCTGCTGAAAACCATCAAATGGGATTTTTCAGTTTCATACAAGCAGTCCTAAGCTAACTCTTTAGATATTATGGCGAAAGTGAAGATGTTTGTGATGCAACTAATGCATTGTAGTAGTAATACCTTTCGTCTTAATGAAAGATCCGGCAGTTCGAGCACTTTGGCAAATTCTTTCCTCAATATGTTCCTCTTCTCTATTTCAGCATTGCTCTTGGAAACAAGGAACCAACGAACCAAAGGGATTGCAAAGAAAGAACCCGCATATACCTGCAAAATTTTGCAAGAGTAAACATCTATCAAAACAGGCAACAGAAAACTAGACAAGAACTTGAGAAGACCTGAATCAGGAACCAAAGCTAGTTTTGTGACTTTTTAGAATATGGATCACAGATATACCTGGAGTAGTGGAAAGATGGAGCTAACAAATTGAATCCATCCACCTTGAGTAATAGGCATCTCCCTGACAATCAAAATAGAACAAAGAGATGAGTAGGAGACCTAAAAACAGAGCCAAATACCAATATCAAGACAACATACTACTTCCCACAAAAGAGGGAAAAGGAAAAAGGGGAAGGAGATTCATACTTCATCATGGCTCCAAGAACAATTACTCCAAACAGATTGAGCCCACCCAACCCAATGACCATTGCTCTTTCCGATGCGTTGGTTTTACTGCAAAGAAAAATTCTTTGGATCAGGGAGCTTGATCTTTACAGATCTAACAAAATGCTGGAGGTATTCCAAACAAGTGGAAGAAAACCTGAATTCCAATTTCTTTTCCTCAAGATAGTTCTGAACTCCTCCAACCCAATCTGTCCATCTTTTACTTCTTCCCACGTAATCCTTCCTACCGCTTCTTTGGGACGAAGCTGTTCGCTGAAGTGAGGGAAATCGATACACGATATTGCCCTAGACAGGATTGAATAAGCAAAGGTTCATATCAGATATAACCTTAGTAGTAGCAGAGATGCAGATAGACTAAATGAACCAGCTTTTATAAGCTCATATAACTATGTGGCATCTTTCTTTGCTATCCATACCTCTTCATCAATTTCTGGTTGGCCATCAAACTTAAGGAGAACAGGTAAGACATATGATTCATCATTCTGAAACCAAAGAACAGAAGAGCGTCATATAAGACAATATTGTCACTAGGTCAGAGGATCACAAAGTGGAATTAGTCAACTCCAACTACTAGATATTGGATTGAATAACGAGAGGAAGTATGTTATGTGCAAAAACAGAACAGTAAACTTCCTTGATAGATTTAAAGGGAAAGGGAACGGCTTGCAAAGGCATAACACATTTGCATTTAGTAGACCCTTTAACATTTCAACTATGCGCCTATAAGATGCAAACAACAGAAATTTAGTCCAGTACTTGGATCCAATGAAAATCTAGTCTTGATTAAGATAAGAATTTGGTTAGAAATGAAAATTTAGTACAGTACTTGAATCGAATGAAAAACGTAGTCTTGATTAAAATAAGAACTAGGGTTAGAAACGAGACTCTGACCTTTTTATGTAAGTTGAGCACAAAAAAAAGTCAAGCTTTTACCAATTAAGAACATCTACAACATTGGAATTTAAGAGAAACTTGCAAGGCAACAGAAAACAGATCAAATGGTACGTAAAAAAACAAGAAATGTTTGCATCGGCACTAAGTAATGCCGACAATTTATCTTTAAAGTTGAAATATACAAGAAACCTGCAGAGCAGATTTATAATTGAGGAGAAGCCCACTCCATTGTGTAAGTCGAGCACAAAAAAGTTGGAAAAAAGGATGGTAATCACAAGAAGACAAAGAAATGGAAAAACATACCACATCCTTGGTCTGTATATCCAGATAGGGAGCAAGTTCCTCAGCAGTCACAACACCACCATTGGAGGAAATGTATTGCCCGATCTGCAAAGGCAAAAAAAATCAAAGCGACTATTAAAAAATACATTTGACACCCGCTAATATCTCCAGACAAGTTTTAATCCACATACGACGCAATAGGCTCTCAAGTACTAACTTTCCACATCAAACGAGTGGGCATCTCTCTATTCTCTATCTAGTCTCATCCATTAATAACAGGGAACAGAATCGTTTGCACAACAGGATCACCTAATAGGTATTGAAGTTGTCATACAATATTTATTGAGCAGAAGTAGAGTAGAATACTAGGTGTGCCAAAGATTATCCATTCGTTGAACTAAAATGCTACATATTCAAGGATTTCTAACAACTGAGCAAAGTCCTAGACTGGCAACCAAACAAACAGAGCATATACTGTCTATGAAAATGTTAAGCCTATGTTGGCTTTCACGCATGGCATAGTCACAGTCAATGACAAGTGCCAACTGCAGGAAGATGGTTAACAACATGATAATAAACCTAACTAGTCTGACTGTGACAAGGCAACAGGCATATTGTGTTGAAAGATTCTAGACTGCTAATAAAACAAAGCTCCTAGAAAGAAGGTGCAATCAGACAAAGGTATTCAGTCCTGAATCATTACCAACTTCCACCTCTCTTCTTCTAGTCCTTGATTTGGATCGCCATCACCAAATACAAATGAGAAGATCTGGAGAAAAATATATAGGAAAATTAAGTTATTAAAAGCATCATAAAGAAGACCACTATAATAGATTGACTTAATATGGTAAGACGTCTCCACTTACAGATTCAAGGAAATTCATATTCTCATTGACATCAACTTGTTCTCTCCGCCTCCTGTAATAATATGGATCCCAAATCCTGAAAAAGCAACAAGGGAAATTCCAAACTTTCTTGATGTCAAGTTCTTCCTCATACAAACATCAGCTCTATCCAGACAAAGATTCCATATCCGCAAGCCATTTGCAGCCACTTGTTTTAAATATAGTTTGAAGGTCAAAGCCAATGAAAGCTAGCGATAAAACTTTGACCCTGGGACACAATCATGTCCCAGGACTTACAGTTCCGGTTTTATACTTGTCAAATTTAAAGGACTACAGACATAAGATGGCCAGAAATTACCTGAATAAATCTATAGGATTGAAGTACATATTGAATCCTGAACCATAAGATCTACCGCTACGTCTTTCACGTCTGTCATCATCACTGCCATCACAAATTCCATATCATAGCTTTTCCATCAGAAGAAGGATTCAGAGTGACACACCAAATATTGCTTTCCTTTATTTGTAAAGAAACGCAGCTCGAAAGTCAATTTCTCGATACCTTCTACTTGAAAGAAGAAGTATGATTGTAGTATAAACCACCACTACTGAAGCAACTAATGCTGTCCCAAAGGAAACTCTGATCAGATACTCAGCCGTGCTCTGTATTCAAAAGGAAAAGGAGTGGACTTTACAAAACTACCACAAAATTCTCTTCGAACATAGCTATCTAGGATAGAATAGCAAAGTAGTTCAACCACTAGAATACCTTTGTTTTATCAACCAGAGGTTCAATTTTCAATCTAAACGACTTGGCAGCAAGCTTTGTGCGGTAATCCTTTGGGAAAACATAAAGCACGTCCCCTTCATCTGAAACCTGTTTGGAACCATCTTGAATGCATTCGCCAAATCAAGAACTTCAACTAACATCGGGAGAATGAACAGCAGGAAAAAGATGCATGCCATAACAGTGGTGGAAAAGAAAACCATAGCTCATCAAATGGGAATGGTTCTCTTAATGAACCTTAAAACCACAGCTCCAACAACTAGACCCTACTGCAGAAAAGCAGAATATGCAGAGACAATGAGAAGAACAGAAACAGCCAAATCAAGTACTACCTCCAGAAAGCCATCAGTATCAGCAGCAAGAGCCTGCAGAGCCTTTTGAGCTTCGTTCAACTTAAGCCCAGCTCTGCTTGCCACGTCACCCAACGTAACCCTGCCTCCGCACCCATCAACGGCGTCCATCGTTCGGTTCCTGACATCCGTCGGCAATTTGTCCGTCTCCACGGCGGCGCCTGGCCTAATTGGAGTGGTCACATCAATGCTACTCGCTCGCACCACGAGCCGCGACGCCTTAAAGTTCGGAAATTTGTAAGAAACTCCTGGAAATGGCGCCGCCGCCGCCTGACGGTGTGTTGGGACTCTGGCGAAGGAACTGCGCGCGAAGATTAGAGAAGGACGTGGAGAAGAAGAAATGGGTCGGGACTTGGTGGGAGACATGGTGAAGCAAGAAGACAGAGACGCCATCAGAACAATCAAAAGGAGAAGACTTTTCCTTTTGGCGTCAGGTTCCGGCCATAGCTACTACAGCACACAGTCAGCTCGAGAACGGGTTGAGTTGAGAGTTGAGACCATCCATCTTGCGAGTGAAGGATTGCGGATTTTCTTATCAGTTATCCCCATTGCTTTAATTTTGCTATTTCTTTCCCCTTTTGCCGAAGTTACACAATTACAAAAACATCCCCAAATTATTGAAAAAGAGTAACCTAGAATGACACCTTATCAACTTGTTAGTTACCTCTAGCATAGAGGCAAGTACACGACGGAAGCCATGGAAGAAGCCACAAACTTGGAGGAATTGCATACAAATACAAGGGATACAAAGGCTTTTACATCATATACCAGAACCAAGGAAAATGAGCTGCATAAAACTGCACAGACTATCCTCACGTCTAGCACAAGATCATGTCTCTGAATTTTACTTGCAAGACGAATTTCTATTTCTTCTTCTAGAATTCGACAGTCCGTTCATTAACGTATTATAAGTAGCAAGATCAGGTATGAAATCTTTATCCAACATCTCCTCCACCAAGACTTCCCCTTCCTTACTCTTGCCTTCTGTTGTATACCCAGAAACCAAAATGTTGTAGGTCGTGGAATCAGGCTCTAAACCCTTGGAACATCCCAATAGTCTCAACATGTCAGCATCCGACGTTCTGCCTACTTTGCAAACATCTTGAATTAGGCAGTTGAATGTTATAATATCTGGAACAATGACATTTCCGTTGAGCAACTTGTCCATCAATCTGAATGCCTCTTCTATTCTCCCTGACTTCCTCAAACCTTCAACCAACGTTGTGGAACAAATCAAGCTAGGAACATTTCCATTCTTCCACAACTCATACACCAGCTCCAATGCTCTACCTGCACACTTTTGCTCACAGAGAACAGACACTAGCCCAGAAAGATCAAATGCAGAAGGAAGAACTCCTTTCCTTGAAAAATCAATCAGTAACTCGCAAGCTTCCATCGTTCGGCTTTTGTTACAAAGTTCATCAACCAAAATCTCACAAGTCACAGTTGAAAACTCAATCCCAAGATCAATCATCTCATATGCCATCTTAATCCCATCCTCAATCTTTCCTTGTCTAAAGAAACCTTTGATCAAAGTATTGAAACTAACCACATTAGGGCTACAGCCCTTCTCCCTCATCTCCCTGAACAACTCCAAAGCCATCTCAAACTTCTTGTTCTTACAATAACTACTAATCAAGATGTTAAAAGTAAACACATCAGGTTTAACTCTATCCTTCAACATTCTGTCATAAACCTCTACAGCCTTATCATGCCGCCCACATTTCACAAACCCATTGATCAGGGTATTGTAAATAGCTACATTAGGCCTCCCATCAATCAATCTTCTCATAGTTTCAAAAGCCACTAACCCATCAATCAAGTTCCCAGCTTTACAGTAAGCGTTGATGGAAAACTGGAAAATTGGCTCAATTCTGGGGCAAGAGAAGATACCTTCACTACAGGGGCAGGGATTGGAAGCCATGAATTGGAGAAGTGGGGTGAGGTCTGAAAGCCTGTTGGTGTTGGCGAGACTTCGGGCCATCCACTCGAAAGTTGTGTGGTCATGTCGGAAAGAATCCACGGTGGCGGCCCAGCTGAAGATGTGGAGATCATAGTGACGGTAATGAGGGTGGTGGTGGAGCTTGGATTTGAAGAAGTGAAGTAGGCTCTGTGGGTTCACTGGTCGGGTTGTGAAGTAGGCTCCGAGGAAATTCAAGAGGGAATCGTAATTAGAAGTCGGCGTGAGAGTGAGGGTTGGGAAAGGGACGAGAGGTGCCGGCGGCGGCGAAGGCAGCGGCGGGATTGGAGATATCTGCGACGGAGATGGAAGTCTATCAAGCCTTTTCAGAATCGGCGGTAGCTTTGGCATATTGGTTTTTACCCCTTTTCCCTCTACCTTGCTATGTCTTTGACTGTTTTTCTTTATCCCCCTGATATGGAACAACAATTTCGCGGCTAACCCCGGCTCCTTCGCCGGCGACGACCTTTTGGGAACTAATCTTTTTCTGCTAATTGGAACTTGGAAACCGTCGAAACTTGTAATAGAGTAATAGAGTATAAGTACTAACTTGTAAGGAACAGAAGTAGGAGGATTGGTGGATGATTTTGTAATTAGCCATCCCTCTTATATTCCCTTTCTCTTGTCTTCTCCGCTCTTTCTCGCGTCGGCCAAACTTTTCTTCCTTCATAATCGACAACAACTCGCCGGAGATTGTACTTGTCCGGTCAGGGTATTTCAAAAACATAAAGAGAATGAGAGCCAGCAGCTTTTCTAACTATTTATCGACTGAGCTCAGTGCCCGCCATAGTATCACTCCCGTTCACGGGTGTCCAAGACGCCGCAAATTCGGCGCGACCTCGCCTTCAACCAAATCCAGTGTGTCCTTCAGCTCTTCAATTATTCTTGCCCTACAGTGAAGTCTATGATTCTGGGTTTTCTTCAGTTTGAGAATAGTAGAAATGGGTTTTTTTTTGGCAGGAACTCGTCGTTTGTCTATTCATTGTGCTGCTGTTCGGTTCCGGCCCTGCATTGATGTACACGAGGTACTTTCTCACTTCCACAGTCTTTAAAGGTGCCATCTTTCAGAGCACCGTTTCCTCTGCAGTTCTTGGGCAATTTCAAGGAGTTAGGTAAATTCTCTCCTTACGAGTATGGTATTTGGCTGCCTTGCTGTTGTTAGGGGAATGTGAAACAAATTGTTGGGTCTACTCTTCGGGATTCCACTGAGGATGGTTCAGGTCTGGTGACAAATTTTGAGTCCGATATGTCAGCTGCACAATTTGCAAACTTGTACAAAGAAGATGATCTCACCGGTGGTCATGTTATTATGCTTGGAGCTGATCCTTTAAGCAAAGCTGCAGCAATTGAAGCATTGCATGCCTATCCCGGTACAGATCCTTGTTCATTTCTGCTACTGAAAAAAAATCTGTTGCTGAGTTTTGCCTTCCATGTTTTGGGTGATTTTGCTAGGGCCTTGTGTGCTTCCTTCTCCGGCTTACTTTTTACTGTAAGAAATTGTTTAACATATAGGTGGCTTGCAAGTTGGAGGTGGTATCAACACCGAGAATTGCTTAAGTTATATAGAAGAAGGAGCCAGCCATGTAATTGTCACCTCAGTATGTAAATGCATTGAAGTTCCTCTATATTCTTACATGTCTATTTGGCTTTCTTTCAGATGTTTTACCTTCTGCTTCATGTTCTTTGTGCAGTATGTGTTCAGTGATGGTCAGATGGATTTAGAGAGGCTAAAGGATCTTGTCCATGTTGTTGGCAAGCAGAGGCTAGTATTGGACCTCAGCTGCAGAAAGAAGGTATCTTGATCACAATAAGTTGTTGACTGAACCCCTGATGACAGCATAGACGGAAATGGGATTTAATAATACGATCCTATGGCATTCTTTTTCTTTGGTTTAATGTTCAGTTTAAACCATGCTGGGTAAACAACAACTTCATTACAGAATGTGTTTAGACCCCATTACACCTAACATCATTTTGTGGGTGTTCTGCAGGATGGTAGATACGCAATTGTCACTGATAGGTGGCAGAAATTCACCAAGGTGTATCTTGACGAGAAGATACTTGAATTCCTCGCCAGCTTCGCAGATGAATTTTTGGTTCATGGGGTCGACGTTGAAGGGAAAAAGTTTGTCGTGTTCACCTCCATTTCGTGGTATCCAGAAAATTTTCTGTTTTCCTACCTTACTATGTTGCTTACTCATGCTGTAGGTTGGGAATTGATGAGGAGCTAGTGCAGCTCCTTGGGGAGCATTCACCGGTTAGTATTGCATACTCTACTTCCGTAACCTTGAAACTGTTAAGTAAGCTAATGTCTGGTGAAACATAGTAATAAGCTTACAATCTGATCCTTGTAATCGAACAACGATTGACGCAGATTCCTGTAACTTACGCGGGTGGTGTGACAGTAATGGAGGACTTGGAAAAAATAAAGACAGCAGGGAAAGGGAGGGTGGATGTTACTGTGGGGAGTGCTTTGGACATTTTTGGTGGTAACTTGCCCTACAGAGATGTCATTGTTTGGCATGCCCAGCAGCAGCTGCAGCAGGAAGTCCCCATAGAAGATGCCCTCTTCCATCAATAGGTACTTCCAACGCGTCGACCCCACGCCCTAGCATACCCTTTCCCGCAGGAACATCCACAATAGCTCTATTGTGTTTGACATGATCCACTTCTTTAATAGTGGTATCGGTATCGCTGAACAACTTTTGAGTTTTGAAGGAACGAATATGCTCGAACTTTGTAAAAGATGACTTAGAATGAAAAGATAAGATGGAGATGCTAGGTATGAGAACCTATTGGGTTAAGTGCATGGTTGGTCATTGAGATTACAAAAAACATTCAAGTTTGGTCACTCAAAATATTTAAATCCATTGGCCGTACTTCAGTTTACTAAAACCGTGCACGTTTGGTCACTCTCCGTCCAACTCCGTTAACTTTTGCTTATGTGGCGGTCAACTCTAAAAATTGACCGTTAAATGCGTGACTTGACACTTTAAAAATAATAAAATTAAATTTTTAAAAAATTTCATCTCATTTCCACCTCATTATCACTTTTATTTAAAATAAATAAAAAAAATCCTAATTTCTTCTAATACCCAATACGAGTAACCCCACTGGCGGCATACCTTCACCATAGCAAAGCTGGAGACGATGCTGCAGACCACACAAACAAGTTAATCCCCATAGATTAAATTCCTCCCAAACCTTAGAACTACTCTTTCTGTTGCTAATAATGTGGGACGTGCCTAGCTTTCTGTTGCTAGTGCGATGTTTTATTGACGAATCAATTTATTCCTTCGTATCTTCGGCACCGACTACTCGTGATGCTTGCCTAGCTTTCTGTTGCTAGTGCGATGTTTTATTGACGAATCAATTTATTCCTTCGTATCTTCGGCACCGACTACTCGTGATGCTTGGTTAACGCTAGAGAAACTGTATGCTAGCAATGCCCAGTCTCGTATTATTCATTTGAAAGGGAAACTCGCAAGATTGTCAGAGGAAATCGAGATGTTCTCGATTTTGTTAATGATCTCAAGAGTACTGCTGCTGAACTCGCCCTTATTGGCGAACCGGTGAAGGATCTTGATCTGGTGGTGCACTGTCTATGAGGGCTAGGAGAGGAATATAAGTCGTTCTCTGCCTCCGTCCGTGCTCGCGGTCCAGGCCTCACACTGGAGGACCTTGTTGATACTCTGGTCGAATATGAAGCTGATTTGAAGACTCTGCAACCCACGGTGGTTCCCACCGCATTCTATACTCAAGGGCAGAGGTCCGGCGGTGGCCCCTCTTTTCTTCGCTCGCCTCGCGATGCGCAGCAGCAACCCTACATGGACTTCTCTTCCGCCCGCTCTCTACCTGGTCAACTCCAGCGGGCCTCAGCCCCATCTTCCCATTATTATACAGGGCTGACCTCCCCTCGTGATTCCTCAACAACACCTCAGCGCCGGGCCCGCTTAATTTGCCAGTTTTGTGAAAAGTTGGGGCACACTGTTAGGCAGTGTTTCCAGCTCTTTCCCCAGGCCCGCCAGGCCCATCTCCAACAGCGTCAGGCTCAACCTCAGGCCCATGCCACGATCTCTCGGCCCTCTTTTGCTCCATCTGCTCCAATTCAGCCATCTCCCACTCCATGGCTTATGGATTCTACGGCTGCTCATCACGTCACGGTGGATCTTGGCAACCTTTCTTTATATTCGGATTATGCTGGTCCCGATGAAATAATTATTGGCAATGGCTCAGGTTTGCGGATTAGCCATATTGGCTCTTCTCATCTCTCTGCTGGTTCCCGTTCACTTTCTCTTCATGATGTTTTACATGTGCCTGCGATCAAAAAGCATCTTATCTCTGTGGCTCAATTATGTCGTACTAATCTAGTGTCCGTGGAATTTTTTGCCACATATTTTGTTGTGAAGGATCGTCGCACGGGGGTGCAGCTGATGAGAGGGGAAAACAAAGGTGATGTGTATGAGTTGCCGCCTGAGACTGCACCAGTTCGTATGGCGCTAGTCACCACTTGCACTTCCACAAATTCATGGTGTCGCAACCGCCCCTTGAGATCAGGCGTACTGCTCGCGATTCGCTCGGAGTCGCCATCGACCTTACTTGGAGTGGATCGAACACTCATTTGGCCCGGTCTCGACCTTAGGGTCGAAATCGATATTTGGTCTGCGAATTTTTGAGATTTGGGTTCGGGAGTACGGTTACATGTGGGAAAGTGTATTCACACCCCACAATGCCCAAAATTGGTACTACTTAAATCGATAAGTTTTTAAGGGTTAGATGTATTATTATTTGTGGCTTTATTGATGTATTTTAATTTTATGATTCGATTAATTATGTGTTTGTTATTAATATTTGATCATACGTCTATTGACGCAATTCTCAAAATTAAAATAAGAGATTTTGGTTAGTTGGACTCAAACCTATTGGTTGCCTACGTACCCGAGTAGTCGGGATCAAAGTCCACGTAGTTCGTTGTCGATATTTATGAAATGATCTTAACACGTTCTATTCATCGTGATTTATGAAATGTATTTGATGATTAATCTTGGTAGTATAAATTGCCATATGTGGTAAATAGATTTAAAGTGGCAAAAAAATAATTAATTATTAAGCAAAAATGTTTTAATTGAGAATTAATAGGGGATTAGTTGCAACTGATCGTGGGGTTGCTTCTAAAAACGAAAATGGGGCCTTGGAAACTCCTTCCTCCTCCTGACCTCCTCTAGTTTTCTCTGGAAACCAAAACGAACCATAGGGAAGAAAAGAAACGAACTCCTCTTCCTTGCTTTCCTCCCTCGCTTCTCTTTCCCAGATACGAAAATCTTCATATCGGATCTGCTTCCTTCTCGTTAATACTCTCAACTTCTACTTCTTACCCCTATCCCGTGTTCTTTCTGGAAATCGAGAAAACCCCCAAAAAGAAAACGACGATGATGCTCCGAATAGCCCTCAAATCGACGATAAGTCAAGATTCGAGGCTTGAATGTTCATTTTCATGGTTTGATTCTGATTTTTGCTGGGATTCTGAACTATTTTTTCGTTTTCTTGGTTCTGTTTACGGATGAGGGGAGAATAAGAGGTCAACGTCGGCAAACTCTGCTGACGCGGTGGAGGCAGCTCAAATCGTGAGTTTTTGTTTCTGTCCTAGGTATATATTGTTTCTGATGGGATTCTAATTTTTTTGGGGGATTTTGTTGGTTTCGATCATGGACGAGGGAAAGAAGCAGCGGGAACGGAAGGAAGAAGAGGGTCGCCGCCCGCATCTTTGTTTTTTACCGGCGGCGGCGACAATGACAAGAGGTGGACTTTTGTTTTGGTAAGTTTTTGGGATTGGATAATTGATATTTGCTTGTTTGAGATATGAGGGCTAATTTTTTTTTATGAATTGGAGAAATTGGGTTCATTTGTGGTTATGAATCCTGAAATTGGAGATGGGGATTTGCTTATGGGATTGGGGTTGTTCATGGTGGTTGGTTTCTGAAAATTGTGTGGTATTTATGAATGGATTTGCTTCTGTTTTTGGGGAGGTTAGGAAAGTTTGTGTTGGATGGCGGAAGTTTGGATTAAAAGAAGACGCACTTAAAACATAGAAAGGTATTTCAAATACCTTCCTAAAATTGAGTCTAATGCTTGTTTTTTAAGGGAAGGTAGAAGTGAGATGGTAAAAGATGACGACGATGGTGGTGATATTGGTTTTGGTTTAGTGTTCAAAGCCTTACATATATAGATAGATAGAAGTGATTGCGAATGAAGATAATGATGATAGTTATAGGATTGAGATTTGGTATTACCAACCGTTGGTTGTTTGTAGCGCTTGGAAATGAGTCTGGCTTTTGTCGTTGGCTCCCATGCTCTTGCTTCACTTTCATCCAATTCTACAGCTACTCGGCTCCTGTCTTTTGTGTTTTAGCTTCTGTTTGTTCTTTCTTTTTCGCTGGGATTGGTGGTGTGCTTGGAAGGGACAGAGGTGAAGAAGTCTTCAGTCCCCTTTCTGTATGTGTATGGCTAAAGAAGAAAGAAGTGGAAATGAACTCTTTTTTGCATCTTTTTGTTGTCTTCTATCTCTGTTTTCTTTCCTTTTTGGGCTTCATTTGGTGGCTGGAATTTTGAACGAGAAGGAGAAAGAGGAAGAACAAGAAGAGAAAAAGAAGAAACAGAAGGAAGATTATAATTTTGGTCGCCTGTATAGAGGGAAAGGAAAATTGCTAGCAGGAGAAGAAAGTAAGTCCCAATTCCCCCTTTCTGAAAGAGCAAAATGGTTCTTTTTATAGGGAAATGGTGGCTTGGGGAGCAAGTATGCTACAGTACCGGGTTAGGTTAGACCAGGTTTGGGTTGTCGGTTAGACCAGGTCTGGCTGTGTGGTTTTGACTTTGGCTTGGAAACGAGTTGACTTTGGTTGACTTTGCACTTTGACTTGGGTTTTGTACTTGACCTAACAACTATGTAAGTTTTATTTTGTATTTGTAATGTAATTGTAATGTAATTATCATTTATTGAGACTATTAATGAATGCTTTATTTTTATTGTATAGCCTATTGTTTCCTAGTCGAGACCCAACCTTACAAAGCCAACATTCAATTAACCAAACACGGTGATTAAGGATAGCTATTGCTAAACTTGTTTGATCATGTGAAACTGATCCAAATTTTGGTTAGTGGTTAATTGTTAATTCAAAACTAAAAAATGGGAAGTCTATAAGCTCGTAAATCCAAAAGCAAATTTAAATCGTATTAACCTCTTAAAATTTGCTATCGCTTAATCTTATAGGCCACTATGAGCATCCTCGCCCCCAACTTTAATCATAGACCACTCTTAACCAGTTATTTTAGTTGAGTAATTGACCCGGACAAAATGAGGTGTCTACACATGGCATTCCAGACTTGGTCATCCTTCCGACCAGTCACTTCGAAGTCTGCTCCGCTCCCATTCACTACCAATTTCGTCTACATCCCCACCTAGTCATTGTGATGCTTGTCTTTCTAATAAATCTCATAAACTCCCATTTGGTGTTTCATCTCTTTCCAGTACACGACCTTTTGATCTCCTTTATACTGATGTTTGGGGTCCAGCTCCTGTCACTTCTGTTGATGGTTTTCAATATTACTTGATTATTGTTGATCATTTCACTCGCTACACATGGTTTTATCCTCTTCGTCGAAAATCTGATGTTCTTCAAGTATTTTTAGATTTTCGTACCATGGTTGAAAACTATTTCTCTACTACCATTCGTCGTATTTACTCAGACGGCGGTGGTGAATTTCAAAAGCTATGTTCTACCTTACATACCCATTGGATCAGTCACTTGCTTACTCCACCACATACCCCTGAACACAATGGCTTGGCTGAGCGCAAGCATCGACATTTGGTTGAAACTGGTATCACTCTCCTTCATCATGCTCATCTTCCGTCCATTTTTTGGTCCTTTGCTTTCTCCACTGCTATATATCTTATTAATCGGATGCCCTCTTCCGCTCTTTGTGGCCACATTCCTTACACACAACTTTTTAATCAAGCCCCAAATTACTATAAACTTCGAATTTTTGGGTGTTTATGTTATCCTTGGCTTCGACCTTACTCCACCAACAAACTTGACCCTCGATCTCGCTCCTGTCTCTTCCTTGGCTATTGCCCCCAACGCAGTGCCTATCGCTGTTTTGATCCTCTCACAAACCGTGTTTTCCTTTCACGCCATGTTTGTTTTGTGGAAGATGTATTTCCAGGTTACTCTTCACCTTCCACTGCAGCGGCACCCTCGCCTACCACCTGGCTCTTGGACTCCAGCCCCGCCGTTACCTCATTTTCGGCCGCTCAACTCACACAATCACCTGTTGGCCCAACTACTTTTGGGCCCCATTCCCTCTCACCAGCAGCGGCCTCAACCGGAGACTCCTCCTCAGCATCATCTGGCCCGATTCCGGACACTGGGCCCACTACAGGCCCCAGCACCCCTTCGCCTGGGCCATCCGTTCGGCCTGTCCAGCCGCCTCCTCCCCCTTCTCGGGTCCACAATATGAGAACACGGGCCCAAGATGGTATTTTCAGGCCCAATAAGTTATTTCTTGTCACTGTCGGCCCAGGCCAGTCTTCCCCTTCTCCGCCACTTGAACCTGCCTCTGTCCACGAAGCCCTCCTCTATCCAGAATGGTTCGCTGCTCTCACTTCAGAAAATCAGGCTCTCCATGCCAACGATACTTGAGATCTTGTTCCTTGCCTTCCCCATTATAATGTCCTTGGTAATCGCTGGGTCTTTCGCGTTAAACGAGATCTGGATGGCTCTATTGCTCGTTTTAAAACGTGGTTGGTCGCCAAAGGTTATCATCAGCGTCCTGGCGTTGACTTCGGAGATACATTCAGCCCCGTTGTCAAACCAGTGACTGTCCGCACAATCTTTACCCTGGCTCTATCGCATAATTGGCAAATTTCTCACTTTGAGGTCAACAATGCATTCTTACAGGGTCCTCTGCATGATGAGGTTTATATGGTTCAACCTCCTGGTTTTACTGATCCTGCTCGTCCCCACCACGTCTGCCGTCTCAAACGAGCGATTTATGGCCTTCGTCAGGCTCCACGTGCTTGGTATACAGCCCTCAGTACCTTTCTCCTTCAGTTCGGGTTTACTAAAACTCTCTCTGATTCGTCTCTCTTTGTCTACCATCGAGCTGGTGTTTTGCTGTATTTTCTTGTCTATGTGGATGATCTATTGCTCACAGGGAATGATGAGGCCACTCTCTCATCCTTCCGTGCTGCCTTATCTCAACGCTTCTCTCTGAAGTCCCTTGGTGATGTCAACAACTTTTTGGGCATTGAGGTCATTCCTACTCCGTCCGGCTATCTCCTGTCTGCATAAATATATGGCGGACTTGCTCACCCGATTTGATATGATTGATGCTGCCCCTATGCCAACTCCAATGGCTTCCACGGCTGCGCTCTCTCTTTCCGATGGTACTGCTCCCACCGATGCCACTCGTTTCCGTCAAATTCTTGGGCCCTCCAATACTTGGTCTACACGCGTCCTGATATAGCTTTCTCCGTCAACAAGCTCTCCCAATTTATGCATGCCCCCACCAACTCCCATTGGCAGAGTCTTAAACGTCTGCTTCGCTATGTTGCTGGCACGCTTGATCATGGCCTCGTCATCAGTCCCCCCCCCCCCCCCGCCCGCTCACACTATCTGTGTTTGCCGACTCAGACTGGGCTGGTAACTTGGATGACCGGTCTTCCACTTCAGCTTATCTTCTTTATTTGGGCCCAACCCTCATCTCCTGGCGATCTCAAAAGCAACGTGTTGTTGCTCGGTCTAGTACTGAGGCGTAGTACCGGGCCATTGCTAATGCTAGTGCGGAGCTCGAATGGGTACAAAATCTCCTCGCCAAGCTGCATCACCAGCTCCCTGCTGCACCTACACTCTACTCCGATAATCTCGATGCTACCTGTTTCTGTGTCAATTTTCCACTCCCGCATGAAACATCTCGCGTTGGACTACCATTTCATTCGTCAGCTTGTGCAGTCTGGCCGTCTAGTCGTACGCTACATTCCTACGACGAATCAGTTCGTGGATGTCCTCACCAAGCCCCTTCCTGCCGCTCGCTTCACCCTTCTACGATCCAAGATCGGCGTTGTTGACACACTGTCCGTCTTGCGGGGGCATATTAGAGAAGAATAATTTTTTCTCTTTTCTGTAATTATTCTTTTATTATTTCCCACTACTCTTTCTATTGCTAATAACGTGGGACGTGCATAGCATTTTGTTGCTAGTGCTCCTGGTTTGTCTCCCTTAATCATGTATATTAGTTTCCAGAATCATAATGAGAAATCATCTGATTCTTTCGCAATATTCTTCTCCTCTAAATCTTTCACCCTGCTCCATCGCCGCTCCCTGGCCATGTTGATTCAACCACAGTACTACTGCTGCTGCTCTATTCTCGTGCATGAAATTTCCATATTACATTCTAATTTCTGGCCTATACATTTTCAGGTTGTGTTGTCTGCTAGAGCTGGTGACAGCGAGGGGTATGCTGCTTGCATTATTTGCGACGGCGAGGGTAAGTTGTCGGCGTGTGTATTGGTATTGGGGATTAGAAGAAATTATGGTTTTTTTCTTTATTTTACATAAAAGTGATAATGAGGTGAAAATGAGATGGCAGTTTTAAAAATTTTAATTTTAAAAATTTTGTTATTTTTAAATTGCCACGTCACACATTTAACAGTCAACTTTTAGAGTTGACCGCCACGTAAGCAAAAGTTAACAAAGTTGGACGAAGAGTGACCAAACGTGAACGGTTTCAGTAAACTGAAGTACCATCAATGGATTTAAATATTTTGAGTGACCAAACTTGAACGTTTTTTGTAATCTCAGTGACCAACCATACAATTAACCTTGAACCTATTAGAAGAAGTGAAATGCCACAATCTCCTCTAGAATTGTACCCCGTCGAAGATGAGCCAAATGTTCATCCCGAATCCTATCCACGACAATTTTAGCATCACTCACAAACACCATAGACGTTAAGCTCCTAGATGATAATTTTAGCCTCTAGAATTGTACCTCATCGAATATGAGCCAAATGTTCATCCGGAATCCTACCCACGACCACGACAATATTAGCATCACTCACAAACACCATAAACTTTAAGCTTTTGATGACACCATCAAATCGCATCATGCAACGAAAGAAACTCAATAAGAAATTGACCAAAGATGTCAATATATAAAGCTATTGCAGCTACCACCACTGTGCTAGGTGCATCCTGCAAAACCCAACCCCTACCCCTATTAGAGCCGCTCATACCCGTCGTCCAATCTTGGCAGCCAGCGAACCCAATTGGGCTAGAGCAAGAGGCAGTGAATTCCACTATGGTCAACAAAACTGTGATAGCAACATAAGGATAGTATACCAAATTTCGAGAGGCCAAATCCGCCAAAAGAGCGCCACTACTCTCATCAATCCCCCACGATATAGATCCTCCTTCTTTACCAGACGTCGCCAGATAGTCTCCAAATGATCTAGGGACAAGTCTTCCCGAATAATCGCAAAATCTGACCCCTCACAAGCTCTCACAACCAGCAAGTCACATGACAACGAAAGAAGAGGTGCTCTTGTGTTTCCACCTCCTCCTCACAAACCAGACACCGAGCAATCCCCCATGCCCTAATGAGCAATGAATCACCAGTTGGTAAGACATGAAGAACAAGCTACCTTATGAAATATCGCAACTTAGAGGAGATTGGGGCAACCCAAAATTTTCCACCACAAAATGCCATCACATGTAAGAGCCTCTACTTTCACTACTAGCCCTTTTTTTCTTTCTCAACTCACATCTAGATGATTCCTTGACTTAATCGAGTAACACCAAAAGGGTTCTCTCATCCAAACAAGTCAATCTGCAATTAAAGAAAATAGGCAGAAGAATAGCCATGATGGCATAGACTATATCCTCGTAAAAAACAATTTCACAAGCAATCAGCATTCCAGAGTCCCTGATCAGGACGTATCAACGATATCATTGTCCCTTACACTCCCACA